GTTCTGTAAACCTCCTCGTTCCTTTGGGACAAATTGAACATTTCATTTGTTTTAGGACATATGTGAATCTTTTGAATATATGTACGTAAGTTGTTTGCCTTATAAAATGTTTTGTTTGTTACGCTCGCGTATTTCGTCTTTCTATATTCGCATTCAGTGTTAGTATATCAATGGCTACACTAACGCTAATATTAGTACTCGGTATACTACTGGAAGGCTAAAACACGTTATTCTTCCGGGCACAAAATAGTCGGTAAACTCTGAGTAGCCGATAACCTATACTAAAAACCCTTTATATATATATATATATATATATATATATATGTGTGTGTGTGTGCGTGTGTGTGTGTGTGTGTGTGTGTGTGTAATTGTACATGTATATGAATTTATATGTATGTGTTTTTACGTAAATATGTATGTGGTGTGTGTATGAAAAAACAGTAAAAAAATTTTACTATTACCTTCAAATTTAACTCCATCTTGATTTGAAACCTAAACTTTAATTAAGAAATATTACCCATCTAAAATAGCTACAAATTAAATTCATGAATTATACTCTAACTGATAAAGATTTTACCTTAACAGTCATTCACAATATTAAAATATTACTATTAGTAAATTTTTATTCTTTATTTTCTTTATTATTGTTGTTTATTAATATAGTATTCAACTTATATTAAATCCCTAATTTATTTGTGGAGAGCTTGAATATTTACATTGCTAACAAGCATTAAATTTAATTTCTTTGTGGAGTTTTTAAACATTTAAATTACTATCAAACGATAAAATCTGTTTTTGTCTAAATTGCTAAAGCTATACCATCCCTCTTCTTCCTCCAAAAACCCTAAGTACATCTCTTTTCTCTTTACTTCCACCCTTTTTTCTTTTTCCCTTTTCCCCATATCATTTCCGTTGAGTTGACCGATTAAATAGGTCAATGTCTGATCCTTACCCCCTCTTTCCTCAATATTAAGTATTATAATAAAAAGAAATATAAAAATAAATTTTAAAAGTCTCCCTTCCCTTTCTAAACTCGACCATGTCTCTCACACTATTTCTCACCACCTTCTATGTCAACTTATATAAGCTTAATACTGCCCGTCAAAAGTGTAAATTTTAAATTCATTTTTCGTTTCACCTTTGAAAGTGAAATCTGAACATCCAGAGAAAAATAAAATTCTCTGGTGAAATAAATTATAACAAATGGAGCCTTAAAATGGTCTGTTTTTCTTTAAATTAAATTATTAGCTCTGACTTAACATTGAGCTTTCAGGACTTCATCCTCCCTGGGATTATCCATACGGATTACCAAGATTTTCGTTATATATATATATATATATATATATATATATATATATATATAGCCGATTTCATTTAAATTCGTTTCTTTTTCTTCTCAACTAACTCTATCGCAACTACAATCGAATAGAATCTATGTAAACTAAACATAAAATTTGTTACTACTACATCCAAAACAATAAAAGACTTAGTCAATACTAAACAAAACAATAAGCTAAAACTTGAAAGAGGAATTTACACGATCTCCTGTAATAATTGTCACCAAAAATACATAGGAGAATGTAAAAATCAAATCTGCCTGCTCAGCAATATAAATATACTGCCATTGTTAAACGGAACACTTCTCAGTTAACTCACTACTAGACACGTTAAACTTTAAAGACAGATTAGCCACAAATGTACACGAATGACAGATGTAACCATTTCTACATGGTGACACAACGCCACCTACCGTAGACTTTCTTTAAACCCGAAAACGAAGGACATATGTTTATATGGATTTTGTTCTTGTTTTGGTGTAAGGAACCCGCCCTCAAAGTTTATAAAAGTATTTTGATACACCCTGTAAGAGTAAACTACAAACTTCTAGGTTCATGGATTCACCATAATAAAACTCATAAGTGCTAAAATTGCTAACAATGGCTTTTACATTAGTCTTTAATATTACTTTCAAACACTCAATTGTTTTTGCTGCTTGTCTCGTCAGTTTTTCTAAGGAGTTTTTCAAATAAGCCTTTATGAAGAAATTAATGATTTTTTTTAAATTTGTCATATTTGATATTACTTCAAATGTTATTTTGAATGGACGCTGGTATTTGAATAGATGATACGTTTATTTGAAACTATTTCGTCTACCGGTTTGCGTACACGAGAAAACTTAATAAGGTAAAGGTTCGAATCCTGCCGGAGGTGGGGGCACATTTTCTTTAAGTTTTCTCGTGTATCCAGGCCTGTTTACATTATTTCATGCGATTGAAGGGTCGTAAACACCAGTTTCCAGAAGCACTTGTTTCATTACTGCGACTTACAACAAATATATATATATATATATATATATATATATATATATATATATATATGCTGTTTCATGCTAGACGCAATCGTCAGGCCATTGCGTCTAGCATGAAACAGCCTATCGCCTGTAAGTGTTGACTTCAATGTTCACTTTATATATATATATATATATATATATATATATATAATTTTCAAAACTTGGTCAGCGCACACACACACATTATATATATACTAAAATTATTTGGTAATCCCTACGGATAATTCCAAAGAGGATCCATGAGAGAGCTCAATATAAGAACAGAGCAAATGAGAATTAATTAAGAAAACGGAGGCTTTAAAAAAAAAGTCTCCACTTTCTTAATTTTATATTATAAAAATTTCATTACTCTAGATACATATATAAAAATCTACACATTCAGTTAAAAATAAAAAATATCCTTGATAATGGCTAAAAAAAAAAATTAGTCGAAAGCGCCAGGATATAGAGAACATCTGGTGAGTGTTTACTGTCCAAAAGTTATAACATTTATACGAACGCAAGAAAAATTGAATAAAAAGCTTAATCGCTGTACTTTGTCAGTCCTCTTTAATCAAACTTACACAATTTATATATATATATATATATATATATATATATATATATATATATATATATGTGTGTGTGTGTGTGTGTGTGTGTGTACAAATGCAATGAGAACGAATCAAATACAAATTCAACCGTTTATAATATTAATTTAAAAAAGGGCTCAATACAACAGTATAGCTATAATTCTTTATTGTAGGTTATTACATTCGAACATACATATTTCCGCTACAAAAATGCATTAATGTTTCGATGCAACATAGCATCTCATCAGGTGCTGATGAAATGATGGTTATAACAATTTTTAATAATACTTATAAAACATCTCCGCGAAAAAAAGAAAAAATAGACAGAAAGACATAAGTTATAATCCTCTCAAAAAGAAAGAAAAAAGACAAGATATAGCCGAAAAAGAAAAGAAAAGAAAGACAAGATAAAGTTAGTAAAAAGAAAGGGAAGAAGAAAGAAAAATAAGAAGAGGTAGAAGAGAAGAAATACCAAAGATATAATTTCTTCTCTGAAGAAAAAGAAGAGATAAAGAGAAGTATGAATATGAGGATGATATAGAAATGGAAAAAGACAAGACTTGTTAGGAATTGGTTTAGCTAATATATATATTCAAGTATATTTTTTACATACATTGTATGAAACCCTGTGCGATACCCTGTCCAGTTTCAGTGGGTAAGGTGGCACTGCCACCTCTGGTGCCACCTGCATTTTTTGCTACCAGTCAGGTTAGTGCGTGTGTGTGTGTGTGTGTGTGTGTGTGTGTGTGAACGTGTCAGTCCCTCCAAACGTTATTTTTGTGGAAACCCGCAGTTGTAATAATGATAAAGATTTCGTTTTAATATCGTTATAGCTCAGAGTTTTCCGGATTGGATTGGATATTTCATGCCACCGATATAAAGTTTACCCCAGCTGTGAACAAAACATCTATCTATCTAACCTATCTGAAGTTATTAAGCAAATCATATAAACTTCACCAATTCAAATTTGGTTTTTAAAAAAAAAGTCTATTTTTTAAACAATTTAGATGTCAAAAGCCTGGGTTAAAATTTTAGGTAGCTTCAATATGTTTTATTGAAGTTATTTGATATATTCTAAAAAAAAAATGCCGTCTGAAATTATTAGGCAATACCAAATAATCACATTTTGCTTCAATAAGAAGGTAATAAAATCATCAAAACCTGATGATAAGTCTTGGAATCCTTTATATTTTAATATGGTGACCCGAATAGTTTTGCGGATTTGCTTATAAAGAAAAATTCATGTTGCACTTGAATCTTTTACTTAATAATTCCTGATATCTCGGATATATTACAAGTCAAAATTCATCTGACATATTCCTCATAAAAATATAAGTATATACTAAAAATCTTACCAATGATATTTATTTAATACCAGTTTTATTATGAAAACTTTGCCTCGTCTAATAAAATCTGATACAGATTAGAACTCTTCTCTTTTCTGATCATTTGTAGCTGAGCTCAAAAATGTTCTCTTCATACTATTTTATAAATTAATAAATTTCATTTGACTTATTTTTAGATCGATTTCTAAGTTTTGTGAACACAACGCTCATCAGTAACAGATAAACTGTGCTCGAATATTTGAAGTCAGTTCAAAGATAAGTCAAATGAACCTTATTTATTTATTGATCCATTGTTGCTATAGTTCTCTATTGAACAGTTTCTTGGAGAAAATTCTGCTCGTCTTGAAATACATAAAGCTAACAATTTTTGCACTTTAATAATAAGTGTTATTAATTTTTTGTTAACGCACTAGTTATAAATTATTTGGAGCGAAAAAACAATTGAATGATTACTCAACAACTTCACTGAGGGATTTTCAAATTTTATTTCCTCATCGGACTTCGTTTCTACAATACTGAAATTTCTTGGTAACGAATGAAATGGCAGTTTTCGCTTCGTCAGACTTGCAAGTTTCTTATTTCTTTTTCTTCGTTAAAAATTAAGAGATTTCCATGTTTTAGACATTTTCTTTGGCTGATGACATGACTGCCTTTATTCGCTGTTTAATGTTATTGAGATGTTCTGCTTCTGCATTATTTGATGGCTTTGTCTTCAATTGCATTCATTCCAATTTACGGTCTGTGGAATTTAAGTTCTGTAGTGACTCCATTGCAAGTTGTAGTCTACAAAATAAAGAAAGCAAAATATTTTGTCAAATAGAAAAAATTAGAAAGTTGTAGCAAGCAAGATTAATAACACCGGCTTACACATGTCGTGAAAAGTAACTTGTATTTTGGAATGCTGAGTCCAAAAACCAAGTCCATTTTTCACTGGTAAGCTCCATATTTTCACTGTACAGATCTTGAGTATTTTTTTTAAAAAGGTGATTACTTATAGCCAACTGTCTGATAATGTTCAGGTTAATTATGAATGCCTCTTGCAAAATAACCATAAATATTGCTGAATTTCACATAGATCTGGATGTTATATTAGGAGAATGCATTATTATAATAATAGTGTGATTGTATTTTTCTAAGTTATGAATTAAGTACTCGGGTATAATGCAGGATTATAATGAAATTGTCGTTGTATTGTTCTAAGTTTGGTTGGTTGATTTTGTTTAGCGGCATATCAACACATTTAGGGGTTATTTAATGCCGAAATTTAAATATGCTGACCACAATTTTATGGCTTCAATTAAATATATTTTGAACGCAATTCTATGCCTTCAAGTACGGATAAAATGTGTTGTTGGCCATTTTACTCTAAAATGTATTGTTGGTCATTTTACTATAAATATGTATTTTTGGTAATTTTATTGCAGTGGTGTACAAAAGCTTGGGGAGTTGAGTTAAAGGGAAATAACTGAAACATCCGGAAGAGGCATGGCACGTGGAACTAGAACAATCTACCCCCGTGGACAAAATAAAAGGTTCGGTTCGAAATTACAATCACCTGAAGAAGGCCGGAGCGTACAACGGTCGAAAAGTCGTGAATAAGGCAACAAAGATAAGGACAACAGTCTGAACAATGTAAATATTGTAAATAACTTATTTTGGAAGTTGTGTTTTATTTCACACTGAGATTGTGTTTAAAGTTCAAATGGGCATTTTTTTCTTCGCACTTACAGTAACTTAAACCTAAACATGATCATTTCTTAAGAAGGATATGTTATTAAGGGAACAGGAAAAATAAAGCTAATGGTCGAAAATATATGCTAAATTTGGACATAGCGCTCCAAAATTGTTCAAATTTAGCCAAGATATTTCATGCAGCCGTTTAAAAGAATCTTGTTGGCTGATGTAATCATTTTATTAAAGATTCTTGGATTATATGTCCTGCAAACAATATTTTACAAATAAATGTTAAGCCGGGTAAATAAGGAAAATTCGTAAAAAATGGACAGTAATTTGTTAGAATAATTCAAAATATTAGTCGGCGATGACAAAAATACAAGTCATGGATTCAAAACAAATAATCATAAAACATGGTTACAAAATTATTAGTATTTGGTGGGCTTAGTTTACAGGAAAGAACTTTCATCTTTTGAACTTGAATTTTCATACGCAATTCTAAGTTTCTGAAGTGATATACTTACTTACATGCCGTGAATATATTACAGTGTAGCGAGAGGCAAAAAGAAAAGGCATGTTGTCGCTCCCTTAGCCGCCTTAAAAGAAACCAAGGCTTTCAAAAATAATGCCAACTGTAAATTCTAAACAAAGGGCGGTAATCCAATCCTTCTAAACCAATGGCGGAAATACTTTTCGCACTGAATTCAACAGATGTCTTCTTGGCGTCAGTTTAAACTGATACCTTCTTTTTTTTCTATATATATTAACTCTAATTATAAACAAAAAATTGGAAATGTGAAAATTTCAGTGAAACATTTATGGAAGATTTCCAAATTTTCATCTGATAATCAAGAAAATACTAACTTTACACAAAATTGCTTAAAATATATGGAAAAAAGAAAGTATCACTTTCATCCATTTGTTCTTGGAATCAGTTTAAACTCGTACCTTCTTTTTTCTATATATCTAAGCTATATTTTTAACAATAATTTTAGGAAATAAAAATTTCACTGAAATACATGTTGAAAATTTGAAATTATGTTGAAATTTGGAAATTTCCTATCTGAAACCAAGAATATATGAATTTTAAGCAAAATGGCCATGATATATGAAATGTAACTGTAAGATTAAACTAATGACAAAATGATGATTTAATCCAAAACATCGTTATCAATTTATTAATTGTTCCAAATCATTGATTTTCTGAACATAATCTTTACTCATAAAATGTGCATTACGACGTTTCGAGGGGCCATAGTTATCTTCCAGTGATGCAGCGAGATTTATTTATATAGAGAAAGCAAGCGAATTAGCTTTAAAATTAACATCCCATATCCACTTTACAATGTAAATATCTACTGGACGTGACTAGTTCATTGTAAATCCCTTTAACGCAACGTCACCACTTTCCTCTATAAAAATTTACTTTTTCTCAAAAGCGAAACATTTACACTATAGACAGTAAGTTAAAATCCATCAAGAAAATTCTAATTTTGACAGTCGGTCCCTATAAAATAATATCAGTTCTTCTGTCGGATCAAACGGTCGTTTCTACAAAGTGGGGAGCGGGTTCAAAACGTGCCGGGCGATATATTTTCTTTATTAAGTTTAAGATTTCTCGATAGCGCAGGGCAATAGATGTAATACGTAGTGTTTAAAATAAAAACGGAGCGACAATTTCAAATATTGATATCCACTGAAAGTAGTGTTTGAAGTTTATATATATAAGTAAAGGAAAATACTCAATATTGGGAATATATATGTGTGTGTGTGCGTGTGTGTGTGTGTGGAGGAGTAATGGAAGAGTACTCAGTATTGGGAATAGAGGGTTTTTAGATGCAGTCAGTGTAGACATAAAAATCAACACCGTGTGCTGACTGTTAGTTTTATTACTTAACGCGATATTCAAATCAATCTTACAGATACATACACACACATAGTGCGTGTGTGTGAGTTATTTTGTCTATAGGCTTGCTCTGACGACCACATTAAATAATAAAACTGATAGCATGCATTGTTGATTCCATATGTACACACTAACTGCATCTACAAACACCCTGCAATATATATGTGTGTGTGTGTGTGAAATGCGTATATATATATATATATATATATATATATATATATATATATATATATATATATGTGAGTGTGTGTGTGCATTTTTTATATATATTATTTATATACTATATATTCGCGGTATTTATTGGAAAGCGCTCAATATCAGTGATAAAGCTAACATATTTACTTGGATGTATCAATCCAACTCTATATATATATATATATATATATATATATATAACCTGAACATAGTTACATACATAGATCGAAAGAATAAAACTGGGTGAGTTATATAGATACGCGCAGCATTTCGCAAATTTATTACGTAAGGCAGATTCCATGTTGTCATTTTGAGATCCTATTCAAAATCAATATTCAAAACTTAAATTGATACGAACTCTGATTTCTAACATCGGAGAGAAACTTACCAATCTTTGAATATACCAGAAGTAGATATGAAGAAAGAGAGAAAGAACATGATATGATAGCGATAGAAAATTGAATCGATAGGCAGAGAACAAATAATCTTTTGAATTTAAAATTTTCTTTAGCATTAAAAAAACAAAACTTTATAAGCAACAAATGAGATTGATATGCTTACACAGTACATAACACCGTCTTTCACCTCCCTGATATTTTCAACAACTGAATTGGCCCAGTCAGTGATTTGATCTCGAAGCTTGTCACCTTCCAGGTTAGCAATCATCTGAAAATATGATTGAAATAAAAGTCTATGAAATGAACACATCATAAAATACTGAAAATAATGTTGTTGGAAGATATAAAACCGGGACGCTTCCCTGTACAGACTTCGTCAAAGTTATTGGCCGCTTCAATAAAAATTGTTTTTATTGGCTATAATTATATTTTAACATGGTAAATAAAGAAGAAACATTTCAATACATTTAATCCGAATTCTTCTAAAAATTTATCAAAATATCACTTTTGTATCAGTCTATATTTCTGAGATGTGGTATTATGTACACAATTTACATTATTCGGACTACTGTCCTCATCTTTGTCGCCATATTTATTACAACGTTTAGGCCGTTGTACGCTCCGGCCTTCTTCAGGACACATGGCACAGTTGATAAAGGCGTTAGTTAGATCCAGTGACAGGACCCAAACAGTGTGAGTTCAATACCCGGTTAAGGCAGTGGAGAACTTGGAGAGGGGAATTAACAGGAGATAACTGACAATTGACATCCATTAAACATGGTACGTGGAACTAAAACAGTCTACCCCAGTGAGAGAAATAAAGGGTTCAGTTCGACATTCCAACCACAAGGCCGGGGCGTACAACGGACGAAACGTTGTAATAAATATGGCGACAAAGATGAGGACAACAGTCCGAATAATGTAAATAGTATATCACTTTTTCTTTTCCTTTTTTTTTTAATTGGTATCACCCCATTCAAGGCAGTAAAGCCACAAAATACAAGGGATGGATGAATTAGAAACAGAAACATTAATAATGAGCGAGAAGAAGAAAGAGTGATCAGGAGGGCAATAGATAGCGATTGACATTGCATTTAATTTTTTGCAGATTAAGGCTGGCTGGGAAACTTGGAACCGGAAGGGAGTTCCACAAGTGAGAAGTGTGAGAAAATAAATTGTTAGCATACGATTTACGGTTACATCTAGCCAGCTCGACCTTAAATTGATGAGATCTCAACGCCATTCTAGTACAGCGCTTAAATTTAAAAAGGCTGGGTACCATAGCGAAGAACTCATCCGGACAATTATCATGAAGGTATTCATAGAAAAGACACAGAGAGGCAACCTTACGGCGGTGGGAAAGTGACTAAAGCCGAGCCGCCAGATCAGGACCAACAATATTGCTGATTCCTCTTTGGATCTTATCAAGGAGCTGAAGGTAAATAGCAGGGGCGCCGGACCATATGTAGCAGAAATATACTAAGCATAGATGAATGGTAAACTTTTAGATAAATTCTGGAGAGAAAAATTGTCTCGTACGACACAGTGAACCAAATTTCTTAACAGCTGACCTAGCAATGGATTCAATACAATATTTCCACTTCATGTCAGCTGAAAACTTTAGCTCGAGAAGGCGCAATTAGTTACTTTCCTGGAGGATAGCATCAGCCATGCGGATGAAAAGCAGAGAGGGGTCTCTCAGATGATTAATAGAGAGAAATTTAGTTTTGGAAGCGTTAAAATTAACATGCCACCTTCTGCCCCCGTTAACGATGGACTCGAAGTCGCTTTGAACATCGGCTGCCATTTTGACCTTATTAGGCTGATCAGCCTTACTATCGAGGCACGAGAAAATGGCTGCGTCATCAACGAAGTTAATTTACCAACGTTGCCGGCGTTGTAGACTCGTAACTATTATTCACTCGCAAAAAAAAATATTCTTACAATCCAAAATACGTTTCGGCTTTAAAAGAACATACAAAAAGACAAATCAATTCATCACCAAAATACAAGACTAAAAATGATTTCATCTCCTTGTCGGGCTGTAATCGAACTCTTAATCTTGTTATATGTAACTCGTACGATTCGAAAATATATATTCTTCGTTTTAAGTATGGCGTCTGTCTCATCAAATTACTCATGTTATAAGTGTAATGTTTTTTTGCATTTTAGGGCACCTCGAGGTGTTATAATGGTTAGCAAGCTTGTCTCGCTAGAACAATTACGACTGAGTAGTGAGTTCGATCCTCACTGGGTACCCCATACTTTCGGCCTTGAGCCACATCTAAGCTACGCTTGGAAAAATAATCTATTTGGGCACCTCGAGGCGGTGAAATGGTTAACAAGCTTGTCTCGCTAGAACAATTACGACTAAGTAGTGAGTTCGATCCTCACTGGGTACCCCATACTTTCGGCCTTGAGCCACATCTAAGCTACGCTTGGAAAAATAATCTATTTGGGCACCTCGAGGCGGCAAAATGGTTAACAAGCTTGTCTCGCTAGAACAATTACGACTAAGTAGTGAGTTCGATCCTCACTGGGTACCCCATACTTTCGGCCTTGATCCACATCCAAGCTACGCTTGGAAAACCACTATTTGGGCACCTCGAGGCGGTGAAATGGTTAACAAGCTTATCTCGCTAGAACAATTACGACTAAGTAGTGAGTTCGATCCTCACTGGGTACCCCATCCTTTCGGCCTTGAGCCACATCTAAGCTACGCTTGGAAAATCACTATAAGTCTAATGTTTTTTGCAGACGATTAACACAATTTCAAGGTTGAAGTTTTCGTTGTTTTTCTTTTTTATTATTTTAATTTTATTTATAACAGCCCGACATTTTTTTCTTACATTAACCCGACATTTTGAAAGAAACCCTGAGAATGTTAACTCGAATCCATTGCTGGTCTAAAAACATCGAATAATCTAAAGAATGTTATTAACTTACAGAAAAGCGATACCAAAAACGGTTCTTCTGTTTTTGGGGATTTTTTTTTTTTTTATCTCGACCTCACAGCCTTCATTTCTACATACTTAAATATGTCACTACCTTATTTAATTTGACGAAATGGATCAATTGATGGGTGTGTTATTTAGGGACCCCCTCACATTTTTATTTTTGCCTATTTGGTAAATGCCACTTAGAAAATTGAGGAGGATAGATTTCGAATACTGATTTAAGAGCTACCCGACCCCATGAAATGTAGCAGGACACCATTCTCACCATAAAAAAATCTGTAACCCGTAAGGTCCAGATGTAAGTAATGTTGATAATTTACAGACGCTAAAAGAGTTTTGATTACATTTTGTTGGATGTTATTACACAAGAAGCAGATCCTACATCCGTTCAGTCAGTTGCTTACATTGGGAATATAAAATTTAACCACTTACCCCTACCCCACTACAAAAATACCCACTTTCTCCTCGAGCAAGTTTAAACGAAATATATGTGTATCTTGGTAAAATTTCTAGAAAATTCGTTTAAAATGTAAATATATATATATATATATATATATACACACCTAGTGAGCCAGACAAACCTACTTAGGTTTCACCTAAACGGATCGTCAGGGAAAGTAAGGCTAACGAGGCAAAGAGAAACACATATTTATATAAATAAGGTAGGTTTGTCTGGCTCACTAGGTGTATCTAGGTCTGCTCTACGGTTGTATTGAGCGCTTTTGTTAGTTAGTTGTTTACTCGTATCGGGATTTTTTCTTTGGGCTTCAGACCTGTATCTGTGCGATTTTTTTTGTCGGCAGAAGTTCATGTTTGTAGCTCTTTCTTTTTTAAAACTTTTTTCCCCTCGTAATTGATTTGATTTTAGCAAATCAAAAATTCGTGGGTTTTTCGAAACGAGTCTAGTTATCTATAATATATATATATATATATATATATATATATATATATATATATATATATATATTATCGGTAAAATACAGCCAGCTACTGTTTACAGAGTGGGGTCTGCATCAGGCTTTTTCCTGCCCACGTTAAAAGGCCGTATATCGCATTTCGTGGGGAATTTGCCAAATAACTGGTGAAATATTATGAAATGCTACGTTAATTTATACTTCTTTTAAGTGCTATATTCCTCAAGGGATTGGTGGGTAATGACTCTCCACAACTTCCTATTCTTTGTAGCTCTAAGCAGTGTATCTTCCCTTACTATCCTCAACCAAGTCCCTGTTCCGATGTTTCGCCATTCATTTCTCTCTGTCCCGCTTGCCTGTGAGTGTCAAATTATCCGAGCCGATTGTCCTCATCGTGTGCTCCAGAAATTTCAACTCTTTCTGATTCTGAGTGTCTTCTATTTTCCTTAAAACTTCTTTGTTGCTGTCATATTCATTCCTTAGTTTTCTCAGCATCCTTTTTTTAGAGCCACATCACTGTTGACTCATGTCTCGTCTTCATCTGTGAGGAAATTGCCCAGCATTCACTGTCCTATTTGTATTATAGACCATTTTAGTATTTCTCATAGTTTCCAACGAAATTTACAAGTATCTTACTATTTTGTTTAGCTTTTGGAAGATATCTTTCACTATTCCAGTAGATCATGGTGTCACATTTTGTATCTTCTGTCATAACCTTCAATAGATAGTTAAATTTCGGTACTTGTTTTATTTTGACATCTCAAATCTAGAGAGGACTTACATTCTATTCTTTAAAATATGCTAATACTGAAAACAATTTTGAAGAGTTGATTATTGACTGTATTATATTTCATTTTGTTAAATGTTGGCCTCGAAATGTAAGAAAACAGTATGTATGGTTACGAGCAAGAGGGACAAGCCAAGATGCGAGTTTAGAAATAGGAGACGTCAAAAAATTAACGAAGTATTATAGCTTTAAAATGCGTTCTTAAAATTAAGAATTAAAGGCTTCTAACTTCCAAACAGGAAGTTTCATCATGAACTAGTTGATATCCTGCTTTTGAAGTGGAAAAATATGGCCTGGTATTTGGTTGACATAAAGCACTTCGAAATTAATTTCATTGCACGTGTTTGTTTTTTTTTTTATATATATATATATGCATTATATTCCCGCAAACAACCTAGCGTAATATGAATAAATCGAGCAGAAAATACTTTGACATTTTTTTTTTCAATGAAATTATGTGCCTATTAGTATTTTGACATCAAAGATTTCATTAAATTTTTATCAGACTTCAAATGTATTTTCTATTTGTTTTTTTGTTTTTTGTTTTGTTTGTTTTTTTGTTTTGTTTTTTGTTGGTTTTTTAAGATAATTCTTATATTAATGCCGAAGTATGTACCTGTCTACCTTCCTATATAGGACATGCGTCATTTAAAAGTAAATTAAATTAATGCCCCATCTGCTTCAAAACATTAAGTAAAGGATTGATAGACCACAGCAAAACTTTTCTTCTATGTATTTCTCTCGTCTCGACTCTGTATCCTTCTCTTTCCTCTCGCTTTTCCTTTCGTTTTTGTTTCTGGCTTTCTTACTTACTCTCTCCTTTTTTCTTAAATTCGATAAGTCTAACTTTCTCCCCAATTGTATTACTGTGGGGAAATTGATAGGCAGTTGATGCTATATACGAGGATGTGCTGGAAAGTTTTCGGCGAGGTACACTTCCGAACTTTTGACAGAACAATCAAAGCTACATAGGAAAAGGAATATACAAGCAAAAAATATATGAATTATAAAGATAATTTACGCCCAACAAAACACGTCGATCACCGATGTACGACGCGTCCAAGACAAGCGAATTTCTGCAAACAAAGCACTTTTGAAATATAAACCGTCATAAGATTTGATTCCTTAACGGTATATCAACTCCTTATGGGAAATTTAATTTTATTGGGAGCTTTGAAGTAATAAAAATATGATATATGTTATTCTGCTTTCACAACTGAATACATGGTAGATGATACGCAGCTTATACATGGACATAATTTCCAGAGGCGGTGATATGTGTTTTATGTTGAAGTTATATTTTGGAATACAGTTTGATTTCTCTAAGACATTTTTGGATATCCTATAGATTAATGTCATGAAAGAGTTCTTTCATGTTGGTTGTTTGGTTGATTTTGTTTAGCGGCATAGCAACCTCTATCGGTTGTTTAATACCGAAATCTAAATATTTTGAACAGAATTTTATTGCTTCAACTAGCGATAAAATGTATTGCCGGTCATTTTGCTATAAAAGGTATCATTGGTAATTATTTTAACACCATTATTCTAGGGCTATTGTTATAACACACTCTTACTTATATAACATACTTTATATAAAGATTCTCTATACGTAATGCTTCAGTTACTTGCTGGGATGACTATATTAGTTAGTCTGAAGACTGACTACAAATGGCTACCAGTCTCACCTCTGACCTGGGGCTCTTTATATTAATGGGAGCTTATTATAGGCACTGACTAAATAAATGTTACAAAAAATTTGGTTCTCCTTCAAATCTACTGTAAAGCCCTGTATATGAGGCATAGGGTACCTGTCAGGAATGACAGTTCAGTTGAATATTCTAGATTGATTTGATTTGTTTATTTAACAGCATATCAACTCCTTATGGGTCATTTAATGCCGAAATTTGAAGCTTTGAATTAATAAAAATGTGATATTCTGTTTTCACAATTGAATACATGGTAAATTATACTCAGCTTTTATGCTTATACATGTTTGCATGGACAAAATTACTAGAGGCGGTGATATGTGTTTTTTATGTTGTAGTTTTGTTGAACTTATATTTTGGAATACAGTTTGATTTCTTTAAGAATTTGTAGGATATTATATGGATTAATGTCATAAAAGACTTCTTTCATCTTAGTTGTTAGTAATTTTACTATAAATAGGTATTATTGGTAATTTCTTCTTAAGTTCGAGTTCTTTCATGTTGATTGTTGGTAATTTTACTATAAAGAGGTATTATTGGTAATTTCTTTTATATAAAATTTAAAGCTCGTATTTTTACGATAAACTTGTATTTTTATACTTTAATAGGATTTTGTCTTTGTTTGAGAGTTACTATTTGCCCATAACTGGGACCCTAAAAGGTGCTGCCACCTCGAGTAAGGCTGGACCTGGGAACAACAGCAATTGAGATGGTTCCATGCTCCTCAAAACCTTCAATCTCCCGATCACAGGCCTTGCTTCCGGGTGTAATTTATAGTCATACCCCGGACTAGCGTCGGTACAGGATAGATAAGTTCAATATCTTTGATTCAGACAAAGTTCCACCGATAGAGATCCGCTGGGGTTTTTTTTACGAAAAGAGTGCGCAATATAGAAAATAGAGCGGTTACAGATATAAGCAGAGTGTCCACAAAAATGCACACTGATTGCAGTGTTTACAATGTTTCATTTCGCCCCAAGCAAGGCGATAATGCAACTAAGGCGCAAAGGGATTAGTGAGAGTGAAAGAGAAAGAGTTTATTGAAAGTAAGGACAATAACAGAATAGGCTTCAGGAAGAGCGAAGATGGCAGTGGACGTTGCATGTAAATTTATGAAGATCGTAGGTAGCTGGGTGGCAAGAAATCAAAAGAGTGTTTCTGTTGTAACGTAGAAAAAGTTACTGAATGAGGAATAAGCAAAACGGAGGTTGGAAATGAAATGGTAATCTTTATAACATCGACAAAATACAATACTCGCCAGCGGCGTGAAGTATGTAAACCACTGCTAGTGGTGGACTACTTACTACCCCCCACTTACAATAATGTCCAACATATTTATGAGGATTAGGACATACCCATTAGTGTTCATAGGTACGGCATATAACAGTTTCAAAGGCGAGAAGTACAAGAGAAGGAACTATTAGAATAGAACTTACGGTTGCATATATTTATTTCAACATTAAAACAATCAATCTAGTAGTACACTTAAATCCTAGCGGTCGAAGTAACAAGAAGGAAGGCTCACTAGAAAGATTGCCACATCACGGCAGTTGGAAAGTGATTGAAGTCAAGATGCCAGGTCACAACCTATAAAATTGCAAACTCTTTTTTGTATTTTGCCGAGATATACAGTCAGAGCTTCAACCCAGATATAGCAGAAATATTCAATGCACGGACGAATGGTAGATTTATGCATGTGGAACATGCATTCTGGCTAGATGAATATATTTGAAGAGAGTAATACTTTTCACTGATTGCACAGATATCACACTGATCCTAGGCGGAAATTTTGGGAAGGGAGCCGATCTATACATATGTAAAGTTATCGTTGTGACAAATAATAAGTACACGATAGTAAATCTTTTATACTTGTTTATTTTCAACTGATTTTCGTCACTTGATATCGACGTAATGGTGTGTAGCTTTGGAAACTTTCTTCGAACGTGGATTCTTGTGAAAGTGTGAGAACATCTATGTCGTTTCCCTATCGTGTGAGGCGCTTATATATATATATATATATTATATATATATATATATATATATATATATATATAGAGAGAGAGAGAGAGAGAGAAAGAGAGAGTCATGTCAACCGTTTTTCTCACATATGCAAATAGTAAGGGCGGCTGGATTGATCCCCCTTTTACGTATCGGTGGCAGGTATTGATATCATGTGAGACACAAATCTACACCTGCATATCAAGAGGTTACCTTCCATGTTAATCTTCTGATGCTTCTGGCTTTCCTGATGCGACACACATTGCAAAGTCTAATTTGGTGTCATTTGGGATGAGCCTAATACATATTGGCATCATCACACAGCAACTTCTCTTTGAAGAAATGTCTCATATTGACATTAAATTTAATTCAAACAATCTAGTATTTCCTAGTGGGAATCACATATAAGAAGGTCATTTTTGATGGGTACTATGTCATAAAAGCTTAAGCCCGCGATTTTCGCAACAACCTAAAAGGTAATGAAAACCTACCTTAAATTTACGGCCAAAGATATCTATATCTTCAAAGGGAACACCTGGTGTAAATTTGTAAACTTTCTTCAGTTCAGGTTTGTTCTCAAATCCAGCTTCGATAATCCACAAATCACCTTCTTGCCGACAGTCGAACGTACCTCGAAGGGTACGAATGCTTTCCTGCAATTCTGGGGGAATTCCTGGAATTAATAAAAAAAAAATAAAAATAAATTCTAATGTCTTGAAAGCAAAACTTAAATTTAATTTTATAAGTCAAAATGATTAGTTGCGTCCCATATTAACCCTTGCTTGTGGAAAGCTGTTTGAAGATATGAAAAGAAGAGATTTAAGAAATTTATATATTATGGACTATAACGTCGTCTGCCGTGAATGAGGATCCAACAGTTTAATTCCTAAAACTAAATTCCCCCGCGGACATGGTTTAATTGGGGTGGTAAAATCATATGCGGAACCCTTCACACATTTCTGAAGACCTGAATACATGGAACTGTCACACGGTGTCCACTAACAGCTCCCCTTCTCCTTGATTGGTTGCCAGCCAAAGAGGCCAGTCTATCCTACTATTTATCCGAGAGCTAGCGGAAGAGACGGTCTCATACCTTTCTTTCTACGGGGTATTTGCAAAAAAAGTGAATATGCACCTAACTTGAGTGGAATTCGAACTCGGTACACCGACTTCACATTCAGAACCGCTACACATTACATATGCTTCAGCCATTACACCATAGCTCACCACTGTATGGCCATACATATGATGAATTAAAAACAAACATAGCAACACATGGCAAGCGTGCTTTCCGGCTCTTCAGGCGCAACGAACTCATATTTACCAAGAGTTACTGCCCTTTTTCGGTTTTAATTCAATCTTAGATTTTTCTGCCTTTTCTGAGATTATATATATATATATATATATATATATATATATATATATATATATGTATAATTTTCTCAAAATTAACCTGTAGAAAAAGACAATATGTATAAAGGAAAAAAGACAATAGGAACACTGTAGTTTTAACTAACTCGTTTTGTCCAATACATTGCAGAAACATGCAAATTCTTTTTTAAAAAACGCATCTATGATCACAAAAGAGACCACATAAATAACAATTTAACAAAGGCACTAGTCATACATAGAAATAAATTCAACCGCAATTTTGATTTTAAATACTACACTCATAAAAAAGAAAATAATTCACTGAGAAGGAAAACCTTCGTGAATGCCGCCATTGAATATTATCCAAATATTAATCTACGCCCAGCTTTTTCTTTTTTCTTTCCTAACAGAATCACTACTCTCCCAAGCCAACGTACATAATAAATATATCAATATATCAAGAAATAAAAAAAACGGTTGAATCCTTCACAATACAAACAATATTTCTTCTACATGTGAAAATATTCTCTTCAAACAAAGCAATTGACATTATTTTTCAGTTACCATATGAATATACAATAGCATTTCTAAATTTTTCTAGTTGCTAACGACATTTTGTTTGTTGCTTATAGATACTTTGTTTCAATAAATTCATTTCATTTTTTACCTTGAAAAAAGTCCACATTGGACGAGACGTGTAGGCTAAAACTACAGTTTTCCTATTGTCTTTTTTCCTTTTATATATATATATATATATATATATATATATATGTGGTGGGGTAAACTAGTATTTAAATTATTTGGGATTGGGATTAATTTATGTTTTGAATAACATGAGGTTAAGGATTTATTCAATTCATACAACTCATTTTTCGAGACCTCCCTCAGAGGAGAATTCTTGTAATGTTCGCTTACTACAGTCGTTGGATCCCAGACTATTTGCAAAAATTTATTATTTAGCGTGTGATTACACGCTAAATAACAGCACTATATTCCCTTTACCTGCTAAAATAAAAGATTTCTTTCAATATTTGAAAAGGGAAAATAGAATGAAGTATATCACACACTATAGACGAGGAAAAATAAAAAAATAAAAATATGAGAGCGACAACAGACCACCTCTAAAACTGTGTGCACTAGCTAACATGAGGATAAATAAAATAAAATAAAATAAACTAGACAGGAGGATTTTTCCCCGCAGTGTGTTTCCATTCTTTCTGCGGTAGACTGGTTGCTAACGAAGGCTAAAGAACCTAGTCTGTCCTACTGTTAAACTCATAGCTTGTGGGGGAAGAAGTGATGGATACACACCTTTTCCAAGGGTATTTGTGCGTCAGTGGATATAACGAACTCGACTGGAATTCGAACTCGGATCTCGGATTTTTCATTCCAAACCACTATATATTACATTACAATTTCTCATATATAAATCACATATAAATGAATTAAAAAATAGCATAAAAATATATAAATAAAAATCTAGAGGTTATGGCAATAAATAACTCTAAACATTAATCCTTAAAAAGAACTAGTAAAAACATCCTACTGATCCCACTTTCCTTAATCCCCCAGTAACCTATATAGAGCTCGCTAAGGGAACATGTGAAGATGAAAAATGGGGAGCGAGAAAGAATGTGTCTGTGAAAAGCAGTGCGGAAGTGAGTATTAAAGGGAGAGAGTGAAAGAGAAAGAGTTTAAAAGTGTGTCTGTGAGAAAGGGTGTGAGAAATGGAAGAGGAAAAAGGCAGAGTGAGAAAGAGAGTGATTGATGGAGAGTGCGAAAATTGGAACGAGGTGGGGAGAGCGTGAAAGAGAGTGTGAGAGAAAGAGAGAATGTGGGAGAGAGTGAGCGGGAAAGGGAAACAGAGAAAGCGAGAGAGGTTGTGTGAAAGGAAGAGTGTGAAAAATAGAAGAAATGGGGAGCGTGAAAGGGGGAGCGTGAAAGAGAAAGTGTGAGAGAAAGAATGGGAAAGGAAGAAATGTGAGTAAATGTATGTGAAAGAGAAGCGATAAAGGAAAAGGGAGAAAAGGAGAGGGAGGGTGTGGAAATTGGAACAAGAAAGGGAACGTGTGAAAGAGGGAAGGAGATAGGGAGAAAATGAAAGGGAAAGTGTGAAAAGGCCAGTGAGAAAATGAGAGAGAGAGAAAGGGAGAGCGTGAAGGGGAGAGTAATAAAAAGAGTGCTAGAAAGAGAGAGGGGAAAGAGCCAGACAAAAGGGAAGTGGACAGACGTTAATTAGATTGAAGTGTAGTTACAGGATTGTATAATTTAATAAGAAATGGCTGACGCTGAACGAACTGACTCTTAACCCGGTTTACTGACCTGCACACACCAGAACACACAGACACATAAACATAATCACATCTAGCATACAAATGAATCTATCCAATGCATACACGCACAGGCACACTCATATATGCATATACAAGTAGATATATACAATGCATTAACATGCCAAGAAATAAGCACAGGCCACATATGGTGGCAGAATCAGAACAGGAGAGTCTACTTTTCTCCTTTATCACATGCCGAGATAGAATGAAGCGATTCAAATAATGCAATTAATGAGAACGAATTTGGCTTTACGGTTTCGTTGGCGGAAAATCCTGAATTGTTTTCTGCCGGTGCTTTTACTCTAGCATCAATCATTTTGAGCGCAATTTTGTCTCTCTTATTTTAAAAATGATGATGTCGTACAAAGGATTCGTAAGCGAAGGCGATCCTGAGAATGTCAACAACATCCGAATCTCGAAATTGACATCACAATAGGATCGTTCATTCGATGTTGTTAGTAACAGTGCATAGAACGTTAATCATCTTTACGTGAATTTTTCACATATTATATTTTGACACGAACATTTAAAACTTCATACAAAACTATGACTGCAACCGTATACATTAAGTAATTTTTTTTTTAATTTTCTGTTTTAAATATATTTTAAGTGGATACACAATTTATTTTCGTCTACCGGACTGAATGATCGAGAAATCTTGTTCTGCTCTTCTTACTGGGACTAAATGGTGGCTCTCTCTTCCCTGAGGGACGCAAGTTAGATACCTACCGGGGATCGAAAGTTTTTCTTTAATAAGATATTTTGTAGGGAAATTTTCTGACAGTGGCATTAAAACCTTTACGTCCACATGAAACTTTTTATCGCGGACAGCAGTGACATATCAGTACTGTTTTTGATATATATATATATATATATATATATATATATATATATATAGATGAATTATTCACACAAAACTAATGCAAAAGGTTAATGATTTTAAATGGCGAGACATCCATCTCGCAAACAATTCAAATAGTACACAAAAACCTTAGATCCGTTATGAATGAATTGATCCTTGTTCATATAAATTTCTGCCGTATTAGTTGTTATTTTACACAAGCTTTCGTCTGTTCATACAGACATCTTCAGGTATATAATAGATGTTGTTCTTGCTTTTTTTCTCTTAGTAATAAGAGGACATCGAAAATATATTTAAAATTAACCTTTTGCATTAGTTTTGTGTGAATAATTCATGTATTTGTAAATTGATTGCACGTTTATTGTAATTTAAATAACCGATCCATGTGCGTCTTTTGGTTAATAAGTGCGACATTACTGTAATTATTGAACAATATAGTTCATGCCACTTTGACAGTAAAATTTACCAGTAAAATAATTTTGATCATTACCATATTTGGTATAAACGCAAACATTTAAAAAAAGAAATTCAAAAATCAAACTCAGCGTTGCATTGGCGCGTTCAAAAACCAATATCTCATTTTCAATAGCATTTCGGATACAATACACATATATTTTCGATGTCCTCTTATTACTAAGAGAAAAAAAAGCAAGAACAACATCTATTATATACCTGAAGATGTCTGTATGAACAGACGAAAGCTTGTGTAAAATAACAACTAATACGGCAGAAATTTATATGAACAAGGATCAATTCATTCATAACGGATCTAAGGTTTTTGTGTACTATTTGAATTGTTTGCGAGATGGATGTCTCGCCATTTAAAATCATTAACCTTTTGCATTAGTTTTGTGTGAATAATTCATGTATTTGTAAATTGATTGCACGTTTATTGTAATATATATATATATATATATATTCACACTGATGAGCTGTGATACGGTGAACAGTATATATATATATATATATATATATATATATATGTGTGTGTGTGTGTGTGTGTGTGTGTGTGTGTGTGTGTGTGTGTGTTTTGGGTATATGTGTGTGTGTGTGTTTTAGGTATGTGTGTGTGTGTGTGTGTGTATGTGTGTTTTGGATATATGTGTGTGTGTGTGTGTTTTGGGTATATGTGTGTGTGTGTGTTTTGGGTATATGTGTGTGTGTGTGTGTGTGTGTGTTTTGGGTATATAATCTAGCCGATTTTATTTAGATAATTGTCTTTCTACTTTGTCGTACGATTCCCCCAAAATTGTTCTTGATACATCAAAATTTATATATCGTTATCTCACACACACACAAACATATATATTTATGTTTTCATATATACGATTTTATATACTATATTCGGATATTATATAACAGTCATTTTATCATATTTACGCACACACACCGATAAATATATATATATATATATATATATATATATATATATATATACACACACACATTATTGACATTTTGAGAAACATTCATGAAAGTATTTTTCTCCAAATGTCAGTAACTTATAACTTTTTAAAGATTACATACCCAAATTTATATATATATATATATATATATGATGGACTCTCCTATAGAGTTCGATATATGAGCTTCCGACGACCACAAACTAATTATCTGCATGTCATGTCTATGACGAGCATGACTTTTGAGACCTGCTTGAGAATATCACAAAAGACCACAAACAGTACAGGAGAACGTATTGTATCCAAGTGCAGCAGGAACACACACACACATATATATATATATAATGAGGAATAATGGTCAATTCGACTAGCTCGTTAATCATGACCCTATCCCAAAGTGCCAACGTCAGTTATAAAAGTATCATTTACTTGTTAAATGTTTACGCTTTCGGCAGTTTTAGATTTTTCTATTACATCGCTAACCATAATTCCACATTCAGGTATCTTCACAGAGTTACACTATTTCCATTTCATTACACTATTTTCACGTCACAAAATCAGAAGGACACCCAGCGAGTAACGAACTCCTTACAGTAGTAATAAATGTATTTGACTATTTATAAAACTTAGCATGGCCGCTTGGTTAGAACGTTAGCGTTCTAACCCCGAGACCCGTGTTCCAATCTTATCATTGTCAATTTGTCGAGGAAATGCCTCTTTGATTATATCGGCCTGGGGGAGACGATCCAAACTTACGTTACCGTTGGGAAGTGTTTAAAAACTGGATAAATGAAAGCACACAAGTCACAAGTCATCGTTACCGAGAGCAGAAGCGTACTGGATTTGCTCAACGACTTAGCAGGCCAAATTGTTCGATCTCACACAGAAAGTGTGACGAAAGTGCACTGAGCATAGTTGAAATATTACTGACAAGTTTGCGGTGTTGGTGTCGAAGATACACAAATGTTCCTGAGTAGTCGTCTGGGACATGGATTAGTTTGCTACCCTAGCAGATGGGTGTACGAAGATCCAGGTATTATAATAAATCCTTGCACTGTCCAGCACAGGTTAACAATAATTGGGAACATGAGATGAATTGCTTCCATTCCAAATGAATATAGCAAACAAAATGCTCGTCTTTTTTCCTCTATAGTACAATGTACCAACGACGAGTGAGTGAAGCTGAGGACATAGGACTTCATAACTTGTATAAGAATGAATCAATATTCTACACCAAGTCATTTTTCTTAATCATTTCCCCCCAAGCAAGACAAGAAAGCTACTAAGATGTATGGTTTTACCGAGTGTGAAAGAATTTGAAAAAAAAACATTATTAAAGGGAGCGAACAATAAAAGAACAGGAATTAAGAAGACAAAAGTTAACTATAGGCATTGCATTTAAATATTCGAAAATCCAAGTTCAAAAAATTTGAATGCAATGTCTATCGTTATTTTCTGTCTTCTTAATCCCTGGTCTTTTATTGTTTGCTCTTTTTAAGAAAGCAAGAATCTGGAAGAGATCTCCAAAAGCGTAAAGTGTAATAGAAGTAACAGTTTACATAGAATTTACGGTTAACTCTAGCCATTTCAATTGTAAAATGATGAGACCTCGCAGCCAATCTAGTACTGCGCTTAAATTCATAAAGTCTAAGGACCAAAGAGGAAAGTGTTCCAAAATTATTACCACGGAAATATTTATAGAAAATACATAGGGAAGTTATGTTATGACGATGGAAAAGTGATATGTCGAGATGCGACGCCAGGACCGATAATATTGAAAGTTTTCTAATAAGTAGGATTTAAGATAAACTTTTCCAAAAACAGAAACTATGATCTGGAATTGGAATGGGAATAGTGGCGCTGCGCACCCTGAATCCATCATAAAATTTCCGAATTCGGAATCGATCAATTCTAAACACCCCAGATATCTTGGCGCGTGGATGAGTTATAACAAATGTAGCAGAAGATATAAAGAAATTGAACACAGGATAGTTTGCACTAAATTTACTTTTATCCAATACTGGAAGATGTGAAAAGGTTACAATATTGACATGAAAATGAGTTTTTAGTATCCTCGTCAGATTTAAACTAGCATAAAGATGTTATGCATGGCTTCGAATTCGCTCAGAAATTTTCTAAATTCTCATGAATATACGGCCATTTTTTTTTCAGATTCATGATTCAAAATGGCTTCAGACAAACGGGTCCTACAAATGTTAAAGTCGAACCATCATCAGGTTTTAGAGTTGGGTAACTGTTGTAGAGTAGTTTTCACAGTGGAGGCTTGTATTTCACTGAGTCGGTTCTAAACAAGGTTCGACGTACAAAACGTTAGGAACTTGAAATAATAGTTAATGACGCAGCAATCTAGTTGTGGTGGTTGATACTTTAATGCCCGAAATCGACTCACTCACCAATTCACTCTGAGCCCTCCTGGCGACTGCTATTACTACTACTTATTATCTGTGAGAGAGTCTATTAACAATAGAATAGGTATGTTCCGGTATAACAGTAACAAAATCACAAAAAGCTTTGGCCAAACAACAAAAACCACATCGCTTGAAAACTACAACAACCACAAAAATGAAAAGTACACATACCTAGAACAGAAAATAATGATATAATTAAGCTAACTTTAAAAAAGTTTGGAAGGAAACTCCCATCAGTCGTGGAAAGAGTGGATTTTTTCATTACTAATGTTCACAAGGCCCAAGAGCTACTCAAGGTAGAGGGTTACCGTGTGGTATTGTGATAGTGTAAGAAAGGGCAAGAAATGACGTTCTTGGGGGTGGGGGCTATGCAAGAAAGATAACAGCTAACTCTAAACTTGAGGAGGAAAACATTTAATTGGTGAATAACATTTCAGAGTTCAATCTGAGACATTAGAAGTATAGTATGGATGTAGACTTTAGAAGGAACCGGAAACAGGAAACAAGGAACAAAAAAATAGAGAGGAGTGTGAAACGGACGATAAGCAAACCTATCTATTCATATATATATACAGGAGGATATGCTATATAAATTCTCATATATCAGAACAAGATTAGATTG